GGAGGGAGGGAGGGATGGAGGGATGGATGGAGGCCGGTAGGCAGACTGCTATCACAAGGAAGGCTGTTCCCACAAGTATTTTAAGTGTTCTGCCATAAATCACTAGGTACTTATAACATTGGACAGAAACACAAGTTCAACAAAACAGGGCTTAGTTGCTTCCCAGGTCCCAGAAGCATCTTTCCTACAGGTAAAGGGCATGTCCCTTTACCTGCCTATTTCTTTGGCCTCATCGTGAAACTGACATTTATATATTCACTGGAGAAAAGTAGGTTTTAGGAAAAGTCAGTCTTGCAAAGGCTAAGTAAAAGACATCCCAGAAGAGAATCTCAAAGAAAGTCATCTCCTCAGTAAGGCCATTCCTCACCATCCAGTCTCAACCAGCCCCTTACCAATTCCCCCCATATTTCACCATCACATCTTTGCTTGCAGTTCTCCTTCTGGCTTACTGCTGTATCAAATCATCTTGTTCATTTTACCTGATGGCTGTTCATGGCCCATCTCCCAACCCCGAACCCCTGCTACCCACCCACCTCTGAAGAACTATATAAGTTGAGTAGTGATGAGTAGTGATCTCATCTATCTTGGCCAGAACGTTTATGTGTGATGGGGTCAGAGAGGCACTCGATAAATACTTGTTGAATGAATGAAAGAGAAAGTATCAGTATTAATTCCCACAGGCCTATGCTTCCATGTTAACCGCCCCCCCAAATGGCCTGCAGTGATAAACTGGTCAAGAAATGTTTAGATAAACCATGAATGGCAATGCCATAAGAAATTCTTTTTAAAAAGTTTAAGATATATCAGTTTATTTATGCATTTTAAGCATTACTCATGTGACAGATAAAAAAAAGGAGCAAAAAGATGAACATGTTCCTGTCCCTGCTTTTAAGGAATTCACAAGGTCATGGGCGACAATAACAATTAATATTTCTTTAGATTTTTACAGTTTTCAAAAAAATGTTCCCAATTATTTCCTCATTTGAAAAGCAGGGCAAATGGCCACCCTGGGAGATCCTGAAGAGAATCTACCCTGTCTGTTCTGGTAACACCACCAGCAACCGGCCTGACCCATGAGAAACTTCTGATACTTTATGTTGCACAGGCCCAGAAACAGGTCTTGGATTATGACTTCTTCGTGGCAGGGATGGAATTCCCAAATTCAGGCAATAGTAGTGCCCTGGGAAGGAATTTCTAAGGGTTAGGTTGTAATAGAATGGGGCACCATGTAAAAAACACTAAGACAGTTTTGGAAATCATTAGAGCATTTGTTCAAATGGAGCCTCTTCATGCTCCAGTTCCCTTAACTTTTATAAAGAACACCAAATCTGGCAACCACACTATGATGAATGGTGACCCAAATGTGCAATTAATACATTCACGCTCCCATGTCAGATAGCAGGGCCTCACTGACAGTCTTTTATTCTGTTTAATGAGCACTGCACTGCTAGGAGCATCGGGCCTGGTGAGCTTTTCCTGAACCTAAGGATTTGTTAGAAAGACTCTGGGGTGGGCTTCCTGGTGGGCTGCATCTCTAAACTGTGTCTCCACTGCCCCCAAATAGCCAAGAACAATGTTAATTATTCAGTCTAGCCAATTACTCAGTGCCCGATAGGAAGACATCTTCCTCAATGCCTGATATATTCTAGGTGTCCAATAAATATTTGTTGAATAAATGAGCAAATGGATAGACAAATGAATGTAACATCTTCTCCTAAATTCCTCCTTCAACAGAGAATAGAGCATTTTACTGGAGGCAAACTCAAGAAATGAACACATTCAAGCCAATTCTCTGGGCTCTTAACACAGAAGTCACCAGGCTCATGCTGGGCCTTACTGAGACATGAGGCAATCAAAATCAGAATCATGGGGCCTTTCCAGGGTCTGCCATATTTTCATCTGTAAACCACAGGCAATGTTTTACAAAAATACTGCTGAAACTGTAAGCATATGGAAGCTATCTGCTAAGATTGAGCTGGCTTTGGTCCTTGTAGACCAAAAGGGTTTGTAGGAGGTCACATCACTGGGTCTTCACCACCTGCCTGCAACTCTCAAGCTAAGTTGAACTCAAGGACCTTTCCAATGAGATTCTCTGCCTAGAGCAGAAGGTTATCAAGATCCATAGTTCACTTAGCACCTCTATTATCTGACTCTAAACCAAGACATTTGGAATTTATTTATCCTCACATAAACATTCTTCTCCAGCTTCTTTATTTTTTTGTTTCATCATTTCAACAAGATTACCTCCCAAGACAAGAAATACGGCCGCTGGTTCTTTCTCACCCTACTTACCCAGCAGAGTCCTGACTGCATATAGTTGATCCATAAATCCTCTTTTTAAAACTTAAAGAAAAAATTACAAAAGCAGTCTATTCCCATTAAGTATATTTGGATAAAAGAAAAGGAAAAATCTTCTCCTTAAACTTTACTACTTTAAGACAGCCATTTGGGTATGAATACACCCCCAGAACTTCTCCAGCTTTTCAGCTGGATTAACACCTCCCCCGCAAAGAAGAGGAAAGTTAATCAGGAGGGTTCACTTCCTCTCTGAGGCTAGACCCAACCTTATAGGCATAACTAAGGGGCAGGGAGACAAGTCTCAGTAGTAACTTGTCCGGATGGCTGCCATTCCCGGCTATAAAACAATGTGAGCTTCTACCTTTTTGAGATAAAGTTCTTTCCAGGAAGTGATACTAACTTGTAAAACAGGTGAGACAAGGTGGATTCGCAACAACGTAATTTATTGCATCCATGCGCTCGCAAGGTTCAGTGGGGGACAAAAGGGGTAGTACCCAGACACTCTCAAGTATGCGGTCCCACACTAGCTCAGTCCCACATGATCAGTCCCTTCATCTAAAACACGAAGTCTTCCCAGAGTCCCCCTCTGACCTTTGGCACTAAGATAAGCTATTGTGACGACATGTTGCTCTGTGTCTACTTCTCTTTTGTTTGCATGTGGTTTTTCTCATTATCATGTCATTAGAACGGACATTCTGGGTATGGGTATGGGAACTGGGTAGGGGTCATGTATCGTTTAGCCTCATGGGGACTCTCCTCTTTTTGGTTAAACTCCATTTGCATTCCTCACTCATATACCAGGGAAGAAGAAATACTCTATATAGTTTTCTTCTCCTTGTTGTGAGTGTCCCCCCAGAGGTTTAGCGACTTGCCTATGTTTGACATAATGTATTGGCTTCACACACACCATTTCAACTAATCAACCTGAACTTTCTCTTTCTCCTAATCTCTAGATTTCTCTTCTGAATTCCCACTCCCATCCCTACTGCTCACGCCACAGTGGGTGGCCGGCATAGCCGAAAGCTACTGACGTAATCTCGCAATTACTTTGATGCCTCTACTTACATTGAAATCCCCGTGCAGATTTTATATTCTACCACCATATGTGATATCTGTGTTTGTCTCATGCAAACAATGCCTTACGTCATCATTGAATAACATCTGTGTTTGTCTCCTACAATGCCTTTAACCACTTTCCAGCTAATTTAACACCCTCCTTCCCATCTCTAAGGAAAATGGATGTGCCAGGAAGATGTGTCAAGTTTACCTCGTGGTTCCATCTTTCCTCCACACAACCTCAGACCTTCCTGAGGAAGAGAAGGCCCAGTTTGAGAAGAAGCGAGTAGTCAAACAACATCTGACTATTGGCATTCAAAAGCTTGACATTTGTGGGTTTGACCCTTCTCAAAAGACCCTGAAGATACACGATGCATAGAATTCTTGAATTCTGCTGGAGCCTGAATTAGACTAATTAGACTAGGGCAGTGGTTGTGAAGCAAGTCCCTTCTACAGGCAGAGGGGCCTGGCCTGCAGCCCAGCACACACATCTGAACTTGGCTTTCTTGTTCTCTAGTTGTCAAGGCTCTCAATTGTTGGGAAAGGAAACTCAAGAAGGTCAAAGGCCTACCTTATATCCTCCCAGCTTTCTCTCCAGGCCCAACATAGACTAAATACCTCTAAGCCAAGCCATTTGGCTTATACCCCAATACTATCATTGGGTTCATGTCACTTCCCATCACACTGAGAATAAAATCCATGCTCTCCACCATGGCCTACAAGGCCCTACGGGACCGGGCCCCTGCTTACCTCTCTGACTTCATTCCTTGGCATTCCCCCCCTTCTGATCGCCAGACTTTATCCACCCTGGCCTCCTCGGTGTCCTCAGAATAAGCCACAATGCTCCCCCACGCCTGGCTTGGCACTGCTGTCCTCTCTGCCCATGGTTTTCCTCCCTGACACCAGTTGGGGCTCTCTCTCAAACGCCCCTTCTCACAGGCCCCCTCCCCGGCCACCTTCCCAGACGAAAGCTTCCCAAACACAGGGAAGCCTCTTTCTTTGTTTTCTTTTTTATAGCACTCATCACTCTCTGACTTCATATGAGGATTTGACTATTTCCCTGTTTCCTGCCGGTCTCCCTGCCTAGCAAGTCAGCACCCTGGAGATAGGACGCTTGTCTCTGCTGTGGAGATGTTCAGTGAGCATCTGTTATGGGAATGGAAGCTCCATGACTCCCCACTGAAGCCAAGACTGAAAGGGCCGTCAGCCATGCTGACAGAGGCTCGCAAGCCAAAAGCCACCCCAAACGCAAAAACCATCCACTTGGAACCAACCTGAGGCATTGAAGCAGTACGTGTCGTACTGCGAGGTGTTGGATGTGAGGATGTACACCCCTGTGTTGTTTGCAGCACAGATGGAGTTGGGGTGAATACGGGGGATCACCACATGCCCTTCTATGAACCCGTACCTGCAGAAGAAAAGCGAGAGGTTATCCACCTGCAGGGCTGTGATGGGGATTTCATAACACGCCATCAGATGACATCTCACACAGTGCACTGCGTCATTCACTTCACCTCTGGGGATCTTAGAGGTTTCAACGAGTGGGTTATGTGAAATCCAGAAAGAACCACCGAGAGAGAAGGAAGGGGCCCAACAAGGCTGAGGGAGACAAGGTGATTGCATTTAGAGCTCTTATAAAGAGCTTTAGAAGAAAAAAAAAGATTCATGAAAGAAAAAACCGGCTTTCTTCTTCAAAAAAGTTTTATTTACTTAAGTAATCTCTACACCCAACGTGGGGCTCGAACTCACAACCCCGAGATCAAGAGTCGCATGCCCTACCGACTGAGCCAGCCAGGCCCTCCAAAAAGAAAAAAAAACTGGTTTCCCAAATAAAATATGTGGGCAGCAGTGTCAAGTCAGTTTGAACACATGGAGGGAAGCCTGAATCACTTAAGAGGGAAGAACAATCACTTTATGAGGTGAGATCCACTCTGGCTCTCCATCACCTTCATATTTTCCAGAAAATGCATGAGATGACCAGCTCCCAGAAGACAGGGCTAGGTGGCTCTTCGTTTCAGTTCACACAGGTCAGAGCCGCCTATTTCCCATCCCCTACTCGTCCTTCTTTGCCTCACGTTTTTCTGTGATTCCCTTGCTCCAGACTCCATTACTGTAAACACAAAGCCTTGTTTGTTTATATGATAGAAACACAGTACATTTTCTCCATGAGCATCCCAGGCATAATTTAATTGCCAGTGGAAGTAAACTGACTGTCATTAAAATGGGAGTAATAGTGATTAAGTAAGTAGATAGTGGTGCCTCATTTAGCTCAGGAATTTTCCAGAGGCAGCTCAGTCAGAGAAGTGCGTAAGCCCCCTCTGTCCCTCACCAAGATGTTTCTGGGAGCATGACGGAGCCGGAACAGACAGCACCCGGCCTCTTCAATCCGCATCACGGACACTAAGCGCTCGCTCACTGCACAATCTGTCCCGAATATAAAATGCCTCCAAAAATTAGAAGTGGGCAGAGAAGGGGTTGGTGGCAGGGGTAGGGCAGAGAAGACGAAGCTAAATCCAGCAAGTTTCTGAAAATGCAATGCTGGCTAAAATGCACAGTGGAGAGCCTTTGTAATCTTTGCTGCCAGAGTCAACAGTGCATAGTGCATCGCCCTGCAAGACCCATGGAAATGGCTGTGAGTTTGAAATTTCTAAGCACACAGAGCTCCTTAGGTCTATGTTGCAACTCTAGCTAGCATGACTAATTCCTCATCGGAAAGGACAGACTGGTTTCTCCAAAGACTCCATAGCTTGGTGGGGAGAAAGAGGGCAATTAAATGTTAATAAGTTTCCATCTATCTGGGAAATGCTACTAATCAGGGTGGAGCAGACAGAAGAGAGTGGCTGCCAAGGTTTTATCCGAGCCTATGAGCCTCTGCCACCTGTCCAATGGCAGAGATCTGATTCACAGCCGCCTGAGCGAAATTATGGAAATGTGTTTTGCAACACTTAATACCCGCTATGGGTGGAAGGCTAGGTTTCTTTCGCACCGTTTTTCTTTCTTTCTTTCTTTCTTTCTTTCTTTTTTTTTTTTAATGACAACACTCCTTGGTGAGCCTACTCCCACCCCGCCTCCATCACATTCGGGAGATCTGTGTCACACTGACATTCTAGAATCTCCATTCCCTTTGTAAGTGATGCCTGAGCTGTTGCTACAACAAGCCGACTGCCCCTTGTATGTGTCCCACCATACATGAGTTGGGATATTGAAATTTATATGTGTATATACTGCCCCAGCAGGTTGCTATTCACAGAGTGGAAAGAAATGCTCAGCGAATCCAAGCGCCATGTTTCTGTCTCCCTCTCGCTCTCAGTCCTTCTGGAGGGTCATGAAATTCTTGCTCTGGGCTCAGACGGAGCAGGACTGGCATCTAGACTCCTCCTCATGCAAGCGATGTGGCCCTGGGTGAGTGTGACCCTTCTGCAAGCCTCGGTTGCTTCATACATAAAGTGGAGGAATATGATCAACCCTGGGTGCAGTCTGAGGATCAAGGGGACGCGGGCGAGCAGGCAGCAGGGTGCACCCCACCTCTGAGTGTGCGAAGGTTAGCCAGTGGGAATCGAAAGAGCTCCCCTCGCTTTCAGCAGATGGGAACATTTCTGTGTTTCCTAAGTCGGTCTTGTCTGTGTTTCACAATCCAGATTCAGTCTAGTAAGTCTACTTTCTTAGGCTACTGGCCGAGTCAGGGCCGTATTTAAACAATTAGCCTTGGGAACGGGATACACGGATCTGCTCATGGGCCCGCCTTCGGCGCAGCCTTCTCCCTCTGCTCCTCTCGGGTTCTCCCAGACCTAGCTCTGAACAAGCACAGACGTCTGTGCGCATCTGGCCTTTCTTTCAGAGCAGTACTGCTGAGTGGAACGTTCTGCAATAATGAAAAGGTTCTATCTAGAATCTACGTCCTCAAATCCGGCAGGCGCTCACCATCTGGAGCTCGCTGAGCACTGGAATGTCAACAGTGCCATGAAGAACCAAAGTGGAATTTTCTTTTGTTGTAATTCCGTGTAAACTGCCACGTGGGGCTGGTGGCTACCTTCTCGGTGCAGTGCCAGAGTAAAGATTCTTCTTTTCCTTTTCAGCCGAAGAGCCTCTGCTGCCATTCCTAATGTAGGGTGCGTGCCTCTGCGACCAAGGGCCGGGATGGGTGTATTGAACTTACATTTCATGGTTTGGATGAAGGCTCCTGCTGCTTGACTTTTAAAAAAGCAGCCTGTGTTGGCATGTGTGTGTGTGTGTGTGTGTTTAAGAGGAAGGGGAACCACGTTATCTCACGTTGCAAAAACAGGGGGTAAGCTGCGGCTGGCGGGAAACTTCAGAGCAGTTGCTCAGATTACCTGGAGCTCTTCTAGTGAAAACAAACCAAACCAAACCACCCCACCGTGGCTGTCATCACTGCTAGCTCTTCATGAGCACCACTCACCACAGGCTCATCAGAGATTTAAACACACGGGGCCGCTGCCTGCTGTGAGCGCCCTGAGCAGAATGGCATGAGCAAGGGTCCAGGGAACACCGTGATGTCCTGCACAAAGTCTCTCAGGAGGTCTCCTGGGTCCCTTGGACCACTTCCCCTCATTGTAATAATACATCTTAATAATTTTCATGTCCTTTTATTTCCAGGCTCAAACCAGAGCAACACAGAAGAGAAACCAACACATGGGAGACAGAAAGATAGAGAGGGAGTTGTTTGAAAACGCTGCTTTGAGCCAAGTCTGCAGAGCCAAGACTCCACCAGGCACATATTTATTTTAAACACTGTTATTTGGTTTACGTTTTCTTGTGGTTCCGACAATGATATTGCATGCTGCTTCAAAGCTGGGAGAGCGCTGTGGAAGCACTTCAGGCAAGAGGGTTCTGACCGTTGACCCTTAATGGCCTCCTCTGGGCAACCCCACTATGATTCACAAAGGTGTCTTGAGCCAGCTTTAAATTCCACTTGTCCTACAGGTTCCAGGTTGACTTGGCCAAATTAATAGGTGGGGCTGACCCTTCAGGCAACCATCCATCAGCTGTCAGGGAGGAGCCTCCGAGCTCTAAGCCCCGCCCCCTAGGCCCCGCCCCCGACTTTCCTCCTCTTACCTGCAGGTCTCAAACCCCACGCTCAGGGCTTTCTCCATCTGGGCCATGGTGGGCAGGGTGCTGTTGAAAGCCTTGCAGAGGTCAGCGGCCTCTGTCCTGGAGATGCTGTAGCGACCATTTTTCTCCACGTGGAACACACCTGCGTATCGGCAGGTTATATTCAAATCTGTGGGATGAAACAGAAATGGTAAATGCTTTTGCATAACTTATTTGGGAAGGGTAAGAAGTCTGTTTGAGGGTAGATTCATTAAAAACAAAACAAAACAAAACAAAACAACTTCTCCACTGGCCAGAGCCTTCAACATGCAGTCCAGCATTCCAAAGCACCACACATTAATCTCAACTCGGAGCTAAGACACAGTAAAGGAGCATCACTCTGGCGTTGTCTCCATCGATTGCTCTACAAACAAGCTTTTTTTTTTAAGATTTTATTTATTTATTTGACAGAGAGAGTGAGAGAGAGAGCACAAGCAGGGGGAGCTGCAGCCAGAGGGAGAGGGAGAAGCAGGCTTCCCGCTGAGCAGGGAGCCCGATGTGGGGCTGGATCCCAGGACCCCGGGATCATGACCTGAGCCAAAGGCAGTCGCTTAACCGACTGAGCCACCCAGGCGCCCTTACAAATGAGTTTTTAAAAAGCATATGACCTATTTCTAGCTATTAAAGTAATACAACTTGTAGAAAACCGACAAAATTCAGGGAAATAATGAAGGAAAAGCTAGGTCACCGCTACTGCCAACGCTTTAAACATTTTGAATCTTCTTTCAATTTTCTGAATCTGCGTGTGTGTGTGTGTATACTTATGTACTTACATATTAACGCAGTGCTAAATATACAGTTTTAGATTTGGGCGTCTTTTTTCCCACTTAAGCTTATACCATGAGCATTTTCCCACAACCATGTGGTGTTACTTGTAACCTCTAACGGCTTCTGGCTGCACCCGGAATAAACGTCCTCTTCCGGGCTGACAAGACCTACAGGAGGAGCTGGCTTCTGTCTCCCTCTCGAAACTTGAGCAGCTCACTCTGCTCAGTTCCTTTGGCCCTTCTGAGTTCTTGGCCACCTTAGAACACATATCTGCCGTGCCCTCTGTCTGGAATGTTCTGTCCTCAGATCATTGCACTTTGTGTTTTGGCTGCACGTCACCCCCTCTTAGAGGCCTTTCCTGAGCACTGTTATCCAACCCACGTGTCTCCCTCGCTCACCCTACTTTGGTGTCTCCACAGCAACTTGTTTATTTATTTGTGCATTTAATTATTATCCATCCACCCTTCCTGTGATAGAAGCTCCAAGAAAAGCAAGGACCTTTTACCTGTATATTGTGTTTCTCTAATACTCACAAGAGTGTGACAGAGAGTAGATGCTCAACCAATATTTACTGAATGAATAAATGGCTCCTTAAAATTTCTTACAAAGTACACCTTCAACACATTGACAGATAGAGCCAAGACCAGTTGTTGGCTCCCAAGAGTTAATGGCATTCAAAATGAAGCCTAATGGCTATCAACTGGTTAAAGGATGATTTAATCCAAGGGCTCCTGTGAATTTTGCAGACATTAATCCAAAATCTCAATAAGGAGCTGAAGAATTATCTACCCGATACTGTGAAACCATTTCACAAGGCTTCTAAACCTTTAAAAGAAAACTCCTTATTTTTCTGGACTGTATTATCATCCCCAGTTCGCACTCCAGCAAACGCCAACACGGAAAGGTGACGTCATTGAAACCGTCCTGGTGGAGTGCGATTCCTCCTGAGCATGTCCTAGAGCCTCAAGTGCAGTCCTTGGCCAAGGAAAACGCTCACCGACATTTCCTCTGGGCCTCCCACAGGGTGGCCTGCATGCCAGGCCAGGCGCCATGTTGTTAGTTAGAAGCCAGCTCTGGATTCAGACAGAACTGGCTTTAACTCAGACTCCATCCCTCCCTTGGGCAGGTCCAGGGGGAGTCAGAAGATTCTGCTTATGTATCAGTGAGAAAACTGAGGCTCAGAAAAATGAGTTGCCCCAGGAAGTGATCACTTCTATATAAAGTCTGTAGTTGACTTCCTGGCTCTCAGTTGCTTTGATCTTCAGCTCTGAGTTGAGAGCCAGGAGAGGGAAAGCCTGTTACTGCAGTTTCCCTGGGTCCCCAGCACCTCTGGGGTTCTGTGTTACATCATCTTCCACGAATGCCGACAAGGGAGCTGTATGCAAGTGTATACGTATTATTTATAGGTAAAGAAACTGAAGCTCAGAAAAATTAAGCAACTTCCTCAAGTCAGCCAGTGGCAGAGCTGGAACCCCATCTCGGGTCCAAGTAGCACCAAAACTCACCCTCCAAACCACTTTGCTGTGTACCTAAGATCCTTCCATGTCATTAGTGCGAGCGTCACCTCTAAAGGGGAGAGGTGCTCCTAGACAACGGCCACATAAGGACGAAGACAGGGTCGGTATTGCTGAGCTCGATGGACAACAATTGCTTTCTCCCTTCCGAGCAGGAAGCAGGTTCTAACCACCAGGAAACGGTGTCTAAAGATTTGCAAAATAAGACGATGAGAGAACCGTGAAACTTCTGTATGATCTTCCTTGACTCTGAAAATACTAAACCAGCAGTAAGAAATGGAGCTTCGAGAAGACAGAAGCCCACATCGGTTGCTTCTCTCTTTTTGTATCATTAGCACGTAGGTGCTTTTTGAACGCATCAGAACTGGGAGGCCTGGAGAGCACATGTGATTCATTCCTTTGGGGGCCTTCTGGTGTCCTCCTTCAGCCACTCACACAAGGCTTGGCTGATGAGGCAGGAGGACAGCGGGGAGGGAAATGCACAAGGCCCTTTGCAAATATTGTTTGTTGTCACTGACATTTTCAGCTTTGGCCTCTGTCAGCCGGTCTTCACGCAGGGAAAGCTGTCAGGCGGTGGGGACAGCCCTTCCCGCGGCTTTCCTCCCCAGGCCTACAAAAGGAAAACACAGCCTCGCAGTCCGCTTCTCGGAGGGGAGGCTGCTCGGGGGAGGCCGCAGCAGAGGCCAGGAGAGGGACCAACGGCCTGTCACTGCGTGGCCAGGGAGCCACTGTCCCTCCCGGGTTTAACAATAAATTCTGAGGGCGCCTGGGTGGCTCAGTCGTTAAACGTCTGCCTTCGGCTCAGGTCATGATCTCAGGGTCCTGGGATCGAGCCCCACATCGGGCTCCCTGCTCGGGGGCAAGCCTGCTTCTCCCTCTCCCACTCCCCCTGCTTGTGTTCCTGCTCTTGCTGTGTCTCTCTCTGTCAAATAAAATAAATAAATGAAGTCTGAGTCCTAGATGGTGGTTTGGAGCTGAACGGCAGTTTCTGTCGTATGAAAATTCATTCTCGTTTACCACCTGGCCCCCAGCACATGCAAATGCAAAAGGAACTGAGACTTTTGAATAAAATACCTTGAGTTCCACAGCAGCAGGCCGCGGGGCTTCAGAGACCAAAGGCGCACGCGCCGTGTGAGTGTGCCCGGCCGTGTGAGTGTGCCCGGCCGTGTGAGTGTGCCCGCCCGCAGTGAGCGCGCCTGCCGTCAGCCCCGAGCGCCAGGACCGGGCGAACTCAACCTTCTGCCTCCGCGCCTCGGGACGCTGGCCCGGGGCCTGCCACGTAGCAGGTAGCGGCCAGGGGCTGCCGAGGGGGTGAGCGGCTCTACGCAGAGGCGAAGCTCCACGGCTTCCGTCTATCTTCATCCAGCGAACAAGGTCCAGCTCCTAACCCGGATGGAATTTAGCCACCCGGGCGTTGCAAAGATGCTGCCCGGAACTTCGTTTCAGGTCAGCTATCCCCGTGAGCCTTCTTAGTTCCTCCCCTCTGACTCCCTCTTGCCTTAAAAGGGACCAAGCCTTCAGGGCTGTGTAGCCTTTAATACTTTATGAAGACTTTCCAACAGACTTCCTTCGCACTGATGCAAACCCCAATTATGACTCCAAAGGATACCAGTAATACCAGCAGCAATAATAGTAGCAGATACAGACCGTGCATACATATATATGCCAGACACCCCTCTAAACACTTCACAAGTACTCATTTTATCCTTAAAACAACCCTATGAGGTAGGTGATATTATTATCCCCACTTTCCAGATACAGAAACCGAGGTACAGAGAAGGGAAGAAACATGCCCAGGTTCACAGAGCTAGTAATGATGAAGCCAGGATTCAAATCCAGCCAGTCTGATGCCATGCGTCCGTCAGACTTACCCACTGGGCTACTACGGCCAACCCTGACTGAAGTAACTTTTTATGACCTCCCAACTTCCCCGGTGCATAGCTTCTCGGGAATATTCCCAAGGTTCAGGGAAAGTTAGAGCAAGGTCGAGGCTTGAGTAGCCGAGGACCACAGATGACTGGACAGGGCACCAGCATCGCTGGCCATGGCATTTGCCACACCATGAACTCCTTCCAGAGAAGCAGGACTTCCCACATGTGTATGCCTCTCTCCTGAGACAGAGAGGCTTCTGCGATTCGGGATCTGTGGTGACTCAAGAGGCTAATACTGAATGGCCAGTTGCATCTCTCAAACAAGTGTTTCCAACTGAAAGTCAGTCAAGAATGTTTTCCGTTGAGCCCTCTGGTCTCCAATAAATCTCCTGCGTCGTGCAACAAGGAAACTGTCCCAAGTCCCTCCCTCTGAGAGACCCAACAGGCAACATTAACTGTTCAAGGCCACTTTCACACTCAGGGAGGAGTCTCTCTGGGGGGGGGAGGGGCAGAAATGCCACCCGAGCCTTTGGAGTGCTTGTGACTATAGGAGGGACAGTGGGATCATGGGGTCCAGCGCCCAGGGGTCTCGTCACCCACAGGGGAAGAGGTCTGCCAGTGAACCCGTCAGGAAGTCTAGAAAAAGGTGCTCTCCGAGAGTGCCCTTCTTGTCTAACCATACTCCCTGGCACCAGACTCACATGCAGGTTGCTAGCTCAGCGTATTGAGAACATTTCCACAGCTGGGTTCGAATCCTGACACAGCCACTCACTCGCCCACTCGTTCTAGTTTACACAGCTAGTTAGTTCCTTCCCCTCTCTGACACTCAGTCTTCTCCATGGGATGACGATACCAACCGGTCAGAGTTTGATAGGTGTTTGGCACTTAATTAGAGTCCATAGTGTTGCATAGCTATTAGGCGGCTTATATCCATCAGCTAATTTAATTCCTACAAAAAGTGCTATGAGGGAGGCACT